CTCCCAGAATTCCCCTGCTGGGGAATTCTGGGAGTTGAAGTCCACGCATCTTAAAGTTGCCAAGGTTGAGAAACACTGTTCTAGATGCTGTGGGAATTCATCGCAATGGCCCAACAGATGATCTTCCAGCTGAGTTTTCCCTAATAAGGACTGAGTCATTTCAATGTTGCTGGGTGGCAATCCACATATACAATTATTTAATGTTTGTGTGTGGTTTTAAAATGTTGATGCCAGGTGCCTTTCATCCCAAACCAAATGTCAAACATTTTGAGGCAGTAGTTCTAAAACCAGTCAGATGGCCCTGAAGAATATTTCAACAGTTAGTCACTGTTTACCCTGTGGAAGCAGGTAGGGATCTGCCATAAAGTCCTCATTTTCAGACCAACCTGTGTATGCTCACAGAAGAAATGGGCACTAGCTTAGGAAGCAGAAAGACTGAGGCTGTCACTTTCAGCTCAAAAAGGAGACCTTGCACACAGAAGGCATTTGAGGTGACCCAAGCATACAAAGCCCCGGTTTTCTATAAATGTGTGCTACCACCCTCAGGAACAACACTAATGATTTCACTGGGTTTAAGAATAAGCAAGAAATAACCAGTTAGTAAAAGTTATCAAACTTTCATCGTATTGGTGTATCAATATGATGAAAGTTTGATAACTTTTACAGAGTGGTATATCAATTTATCTTTTTTCTTACCACTGAACAAAACTTTTCCATTTCAAAAGGCTAAAAATTTAAAACAACGTACTAAAAATTACTGGACTCCACTAATTCAGATGCTCCTGAGACACTCAGGGATTACAGCTAGGCCACAATGTGTTATATCAGAAATCACCAGCCAATGGGGAACCAACAGCCTTTTGGTGATTGGCTGATGGTGTGGACTGCATTCAACCCACAGGTTTAACAATTTTGCAAAGCTCACTCTGCTTTCCCAGAGGAATCTTTAAAAAATAAAATAAATGGGGACCCCACCCCTCCCTTTCCCAGTTCCCAACAGCCTGGTGGGTCATGACCCATAATTTGAGAAGCCCTAGCCAACTCATTTCCGAGTTTGTTGGGCTGACTGGAGCATGCCTTCAGAACTGTCACAAAGTATTTTCTGTGTGTGTGATATGCTCGCTTCTCATGTGACATTTGACATGGCGAGTATTCAAAAATACTAGTTCCCACATGATACTTAAAATTAGCATGACCCCAGGAAAAATGCAAGAAACTGCTTAAATTCTTTATTTGAAATGACCTTTATTTCAGGTCATTTGTTCTTCAGGTGTGTTAACCCATATGCTTTTTAGTTGATAAAGGGGTCTGGCAAGCAGAGTGTGTACTTTATAAACGAGCATTTTTCCCATATCAGAGTAACACTGTTCTTGAGAAAGAGGCAGAGTTGGTATTTTCCTAGTTCTCGTACCATGCATTATCTTTGTAGCGCTAGCTGCTTTTACCTGATACGCCGAGCTTGAGTTTAACTGCTCTTCTGAGATAGTTGCAAAGGACTGCATTTGCTGGATTAAAGAAAGCACACTCACACATGCGAAACTGCAGCCAGGAAGGATGGACATGGCATGTCAGCTTTTATTAGTTGAACGTGAAGTCAAACCTCAGATCAGGACGAGGCCAGTATTTTGTGTGGAAGATATTCTTCCCATCTTGGGCAACACTACAGTGCAAGAACTGATTCCTCTGCAAAACTGCTCACTGTTCACACTTTGAAAACAAACACGTTGCAGATGTAAAAGTGACTTCAAATAACCCCCCCGCCCAAAACAGAAAATATCCCTCCTACCTAATGCGACAGAACCATTTATCAGAATTGATGGGTGTCCTTCTCATCGGCAAGACACATTTAAAGCTCTTGGAGCCTTGAGGTAGCATCTTTATGCAAAATTAAAATCACCTTCTTGACCAGGCTGGAAAGCATCCACAGCAATCCACGTGGTTTAAGCTTTAGCTAGGCTCAGTAAATATGTGTCATGCTCCTGCCAGATTAGGGACTATGTTTTTTTTCCTGGAAGATCAAGGCCCAGCATAGCTCCTATAGCCTGCTCAAGGAGAACCCACAGAGAAGGCCTCTTCAAATGAAACGTGTTTTGAACAAATAGAACACATTCACCTCATCAACACAGTATTCACAACAAAAGATAACCAGAGTGGAAAAGACCAGAAAACTTGTATTTTTTGTCAAACTAATTTTACAAAGACATTTCAAGAAAAAAAGATGACAAAATGGGTGTTGGGTTTTTTCCCCCTCGAAGCTGCACTTTCTTGCTGATTTGTTTTAGAAATGCTTTTCATTTTAATACATTGTGAAAATTTGTGCTGTGACATTAACAAACATATCTTAAGAGTAGGGCACTATAAGCTCTTCCCAGAAACCTCAAAAATGATAAGCGAGTTTAAAAAGACAGTCTCAGAAAACACCACTCTGGTTAGCCACTTTGCTGCTGAGTTCTCTTATTAAAGCTAGACATCACCAATTACCCTATGTGAATGAACGGCAGATTCCTTTTTCCCCTAAGAAAGAATATCACGCAACATTTTAAACTGGTGTTCATCATAAGAAGTTAATGGAGCCAAGTTAAAGGAGGGATTCAAGGATGGAGATGAACTATTCACAGCTGACCTTGCTGAAATCCAGCTGGATTTGCAAGGTGAGGGGAAATCCACAAAGAAAGGAGCAGATGTTTACATGATTTCTCTAGTTTTCACTGCAAATACCGCACAACTAATCATTTTAAGTTACACATTTTAAATTATTTCTAATCTGACAGATCCCAAATGGCTCATTTTAAAAAATAATTTCTTTAGTGTGACAATAGATCTATGTGACCAAAAATTGGACTTGTATTAACATCAGCAGATGAGAAAAGTATCTGTTCTGACTGGGCCTATAGATGGAATTCTCAAACAACAATCACAGTAATGTCAGTGATCTATCATAATAAAGTGATTTGTATGACCTGTTGGTCAGCCACAAACACACACAGATAAAAAGATTTTGCACCACTTGAAAAGATAAACCCAGATTGGGATTGTGCAAATCAGCCCTTCAGTTTGTCTGCTTTCAAAATAGTATAGGGTTTTCTTTTTAAGCAGGACATATATAAGTTAGTACTAATTCACCCTATTCACTTTGTTTTGCAAATGGCTTTGAATATATCCTCAGTTCACTTTTATTGGATAATTTCTTGCCAGCGTAGAATCCTCTTCAAAATATCAGAACCCCAGCTTAAATTTAACTAGGTGGAAGCAATACCCCAGCTCTATAACCTGTTAAGTTACATTAGACTGCAAAAGACACAAAAGAATTTGAGCAAGAAATGCTTTGCAAAGGATGAACGTAGGAGAGGAAAGCCTTTGTAGCCAAAATGGTGGTTCTAGAACGCATTTGTTTGGTTCAGCTGAAACTTGGCCAAGCCTTAAGAGAAAATTTAAAAAATGATTTGCTACTTATACAAGCGACAAAGGCTGTACCATTTTCCTTTCCTCACCAATCCCTTTTATCAGATCCACAGCCAAAAAGCAGTTTGCATAAACTGAGAAACATACACTTAAAATCTTTGGTGTAAAATCTTTAGATAAATAAAGCATTTTTCTTCTGGGATGTTCAAACTGTAGCTAACCTTAAATTGAGATACTGGGGAAAAAATCGGAAACATAAAATATGATGGCCAGGGCTTCAGTACATTTTCCAGTAGCAATGATTATATATATAAAAAAAAAGATGTTACTCTCAAGTGCTATTTCCTGATTCAACAACATATAAAACATTAAGTCTTAAATTGGTAACATAGGAATAGAAATTGTAAAAAGAGGGTAATAGGCTCCAGGCTAAAAGGCAACCGATGAATTGGATTTACAGCATTTCCAATGGGAATTCAGAATGGTTGAATTATTTCAAATTTTGATGGCACAATTACTACATTTTGACTTATTCTATCAGCTGAAAATCCACAATTAATGAAAATTTATTTCCAAAATACATAAGTTGAGAAACACTGATAATGGAATTGGCAACTGATGCAATTTCATACAGGATCAATACCTTTCTTCCCTAAGAATTTCTGGTGCTACATTTAGACTAATTTTTATGGTAATTTCTTACACAGTTAATACTTGGATAAAACTTAAGAAAGATGTTACTTCAGTAATTATATATAAACTGACAGCTATTTGCTGATTCAACCAAGATTTTAGAGAAATGCAGCTAAATGAACCTGCATTCCAAAAAGTGCCTCCAATACAATATTAGTTGCCCAGAGATGAGATAATTTTCCATTGTAGCTTTTCAAAAATCATTTTTGAAGTAAAATGCTGCTAATTTTCAAAAAGGATTTAGCAAATAGGTGTTGTAGCTGGAAAGTGTATACCCAATTACATTACATAATATTGTAAAATATTACAGTATGATGGAGCCCGTTAGTACATAAATATTCCTTAAGTTACAAAAAAACCAACCCTTTTTTCTTTTTTAAAAAAGCATTAAAACAGATTTTGCCAATGGCAATGCCATGCGAAATCTAGAAGTACCAAGAATCTCCATGATCAGAAATTTGGGTAAGCTTCTCCTGTTCCCCACCAGACCACACATCTGTCCCCTGGATCTCATGGCCTATGATTCAAATTCACTGGAGCCTTGAAACTCTGCTTAAGACACGGCTCATAATTCAGCATTTTACTTCACTGTTCATTATTTATCAACCAGGTTCCTTTGGAACCCTTCATCTTTAAACTGCAATGCTCCCATTTCCAGAAAAGAACATGAAAAACTCAGAACTGGTTAACTCGCTGTCTCTGCAAACTTCTCATCCTTTTTGACATTCAAATCCAAATGTATCATTATTAAAATCAGATTCTGATCATGTGAGGACAAAAATTGTCAAAAAGAAGGTAATGTTAAGAAGGTGGCTGTTTCCAAGTGTAGGAACAGCCACCGACTATCCAAATCTCTGATTTCAAAGTTTGTTCTTCCTTTTTTAACAAGAACAACAAATAGATTGCTCCATATCTTTAGTATCAGGCACTTGAATTGTTGGGAGAGACATGCCATTCTGAACCAAGCAATGTGAAAAGAGGATTAAGAGACTCAGCAGTAAGCTAGGTCTAATAACAAAATTTCAGCAGCAAAGCGGAGGCCTGGAGTGAGCCCTGAACCCTCCAGCTATGCTGAGACCTGCGTAGGTTTCTAAAAAAATGCCCAAGAAGACACCAACAGCCACTGTCCTGTAGTGTCCTTTTTTTTCATTTGTGTGGTGCTGCGCTGTTACTAATAGGAGACTTTTCTATGTCTTGAACTGAGAAGGCATTGATGCACTCTGTGCCTAATTGCCTGGATCAATCAGGTCCATGCTTGAACCAAACAATGCCACCAGCTGCTCTTCATAATGGGTTATATTCCTCTTCATAATGTCCATGCAGGGACCAAGTAACCGCTCAAATGCTTGCACATCCATAACTGCACAGAAATACAGAGAAATGTGAAAAGAAAACATTAAATTAGTTCCAAGGAACCTTCCAGCCCAGCTCTTTAAAAAAAGCAGTGAAACAAATTACCTAGGAAAGCAGGAAAAAAAAAAATCATCCCTGGAGAATGAATGAATGATTTTAATTTAGAAACCATCTAAATCCAATTAACCCTGAGCAACTTACAATTGAAAAGCAAGAACAATAAAAGTTGAGAAACATATTGTAGACATTCAAAAGAGAACAGGAACCAAACAGAACAGAAAAAAAAAAAACCAGCCTAGAGGGGCACAGCACCCCAAGGCCTGGAAGAACAGCCAGATCTATAAGGACTTTTGGAACATCATTAGGGTGGGAACCATGCAGATCTCTGGGAGGATTAATGGAATTAAAAGTGATGGTGCAAGAATAACATTTTTTTTTTTGTTGCTTGGGGTGCTGCACTGGCATTAGAGTGCCCCAGAGAGAGAAATGGGGGGGGGGGGAACCTGCAGAACTAACTCCCCCATTTCCCTGTTGCATATCCCTTAATGTGACCAAAGAGAGAATTTTTAAACACCTGATTTTGCCACTATTGCAGACTCAATAATTCAGTTATTCCCTTGAAATCAGAGCAATTACAAACCTCATAAAAAGTCCCAGAAATAAGAATTCCCAAGGACTGAAAAAAGGCTCTTGGGAGTAAATTACACACTACATTAAATGCTTCCTTTCACTATCTTTGAAGCAGATAGAATCACAAAACCTGCAACATCCAAACATATACAATCTGTAGTTTCAAACTATTTAATTAAGGTACTGTATACTTTAAGTTCTAGCCCAATAAGGGAAAAATTGTGATTATTTTCTCACTCCTTGCTAACATTCCTAGAAACTTAAGTAATAATGGAAACTCCGTATCTCATTAATCAATAGACCCATAAAATGCGTACATACTGTGAAATATAAGATGCTAACATTGGCGCAAAAGATTCTTGAAACTTCATGCCAATATTCTGAAAACCAAGCACTACATACAGTGGGGCAAAAAAGTATTTAGTCAGCCACCAATTGTGCAAGTTCTCCCACTTAAAAAGATGAGAGAGGCCTGTAATTTTCATCATAGGTATACCTCAACTATGAGAGACAAAATGGGGGGGGAGTGGGGCAAAAAAGTATTTAGTCAGCCACCAATTGTGCAAGTTCTCCCACTTAAAAAGATGAGAGAGGCCTGTAATTTTCATCATAGGTATACCTCAACTATGAGAGACAAAATGGGGGGGGATCAAGGGAGATTATCAGTGGTCTTGTATGTCTTCCATTTTCTAATTATTGCTCCCACAGTTGATTTCTTCACACCAAGCTGCTTGTGTATTGCAGATTCAGTCTTCCCAGCCTGGTGCAGGTCTATAATTTGTTTCTGGTGTCCTTCAACAGCTCTTTGGTCTTGTCCATAGTGGAGTTTGGAGTGTGACTGTTTGAGGTTGTGGACAGGTGTCTTTTATACTGATAACAAGGTCAAACAGGTGCCATTACTACAGGTAACGAGTGGAGGACAGAGGAGCCTCTTAAAGAAGTAGTTACAGGTCTGTGAGAGCCAGACATCTTGCTTGTTTGTAGGTGACCAAATACTTATTTTCTGAGAGCCAGACATCTTGCTTGTTTGTAGGTGACCAAATACTTATTTTCTGAGAGCCAGACATCTTGCTTGTTTGTAGGTGACCAAATACTTATTTTCTGAGAGCCAGACATCTTGCTTGTTTGTAGGTGACCAAATACTTATTTTCTGAGAGCCAGACATCTTGCTTGTTTGTAGGTGACCAAATACTTATTTTCCACCATGATTTGCAAATAAATTCTTTAAAAATCAGACAATGTGATTTTCTGGATTTTCCCCCCCATTTTGTCTCTCATAGTTGAGGTATACCTATGATGAAAATTACAGGCCTCTCTCATCTTTTTAAGTGGGAGAACTTGCACAATTGGTGGCTGACTAAATACTTTTTTGCCCCACTGTATACATTCAAGGGATTCTTGGAACTGGGACTGATTTGTATCACAAGCAGACAAGCCATTTTAAGCAAACGATGGATCCAAACAGAACAGTATGGAAGACCAAACCAACTGAGTCCAATTCTGATAGTAACTGTCACAAAGGGAACGAACAAGAATAAAAACAAAGTTCTTACCTAAACATTTGACTTCCCCGACAGCATAGGCAGAGGCTGCTCTTGGTTTGTTGGTAACAAGTGCAAGCTCTCCAAAATACTGTCCTTTTTGACATCGAGCAATTTCTACCTCTTGGTTTGCATCTTTTGCCGTGACAGTCTACATTAGAAATTCAAGACAGGGAATGTTATTTACTGACAAACTGCTATCAAAAACATTCCAATTTCACCTACCACTTACTCCGAGATTAACTGAGACTGTCCTGTTCTCAGTTCCATACCTGTCAGATATCAGACTAAAGTTTATATGATTTAGATTCTTTTTGGTGATGGTCCCTTTATTGTGAAATGCTCTCCCCAAAAAAGCCTATCCAGGAATTTGCATCCATATTAGCAAATTAAGACTTTGGGGAACAAAATTGCTGCAGCTACAGCATATTTAATGTGGATAAGTCATTTTTATTATTATGCCATGTAATTTTAAACTGTTTTTAAAATATCATTTTTCTTTATGTTAGCAGCCCAGGGGTTTTTTTGGAGAGCTTATGCCAGCCTACTGTGCCACAGCATTAGCAGACATTTTCTATGGTGCCTACGGAAGTTCTTGCCCTGTCCCTTACCCCCATCCATTCCTTTGCAATGAGGTCAGGCAGATGAGCTCTGAACAGTTCACAAGGAATGGCAGTGCTGGCCAGGGCAGTGCTACCTATAAGTAGATGAAGCACACATCACACACACATACACACACACACACACACACTGGATGGATTAGGAGGCATTAATTGACTGGATCCTCCATGACCCTCCTCACACTCCAGTAGCCTTCCAATTGATTGAACCTGAGCACTTTGCCACTTGTACCTTTTGTAGACCTCAACGGATGGGTCTGCATCCAAAAAAGAGAAAACAGTAACAATCCATCCATGGTAGAAGTGCTATTCAGCAAGGCATTTCTAGAACTGACTGCAGCTTCTCTGCATTGTATTCATTTTCCAGAATGACTATCCAGATGTGCTCTGGGAAATGCTGGTAATGACAATAGGAGCACATGTTGGCAATAGCCTAACGCTTACCTAACTATTACTCCCAGGCTTAGCAGCAACATTTTTAATTTGCTTGACCATTTGATTGGGCAGCCTGTCCTCACCACCCATGGTTCGTTTTAATTTCTGAGAAAGTAGAAAAGGGAAGCCTTTCTCTTCTTAACATGGCAGCTCCAACAGGTAGATCAGACCTAGAACTCAACTCCACAGGAAGGTTAGACTACTTTTATTGAGATTGGCTATAATAACAGAATCTTGCAAGTCTGATCATACCTCCTTCTCCTTCTCATGAATTAGGGAGTGGAACTAGGGAGATGTCTGCCTGATTGCTTCTGAATGCTATTTGGATGTTCTGGACTTAAAAAACAGTTTACCCCTTATTGCCTTGGCAATGGAGCTTGCATATCTCCATCAAGGTCATTTTCCTTACCTTCTACATAACACCATTGAAGTAAGCAGTCAGGGCGGAACTTATACCCCCACATAAATACACTTACTAAGCAATTTTTTTCCTTCCAACACTGTTGGGAGAGGCCAAAGACTGTTTAATAAAGCACTTGCTCCACCACTCAAAAAGACTTAGCTAAACAATGTCTGCCAACACTCCACTGTTGAAATTTATTGCTTTTTTTTTTTTTTTAACAAGAAAACAATTTTGAACACTGCTTGGTAAATTGGGATGAATTGTGGGGAGAGAGCAACAGCTAACCAGAGGAGTGTGAAGGGAGATTGTTGAAACAGTGGGGCTCAAGGAGGTGGAGTAATGGCTAGGCAAGGCACATGCAGCACTAGGCTTCCAGTGCACCTGAGCTACAGGCACTTGTAGCACCTGCTTATGGTCACCTTAAGATTCAATCTCTCCTTTTTTTCCTCCGAGAGCTCCAAACTCAGGACAAGGAAGAAGAGGGAAGCCAAGGAAAACAAAAACAGTGGTGCTCTGGAAAAGATAGCTTTGGAATAAGAATAGGGTCTGCTTCCTCTCCAGTCATCACCAAGAGGGATATTGCAGAACTTTCTGCTGTATTTAGTTTTGACCCCTCATGCTATAGTACCCACAAAACAAAAGGCCACTCATAGAAGTTGGGAACAGAGGGGAAGGTGGGGGTGAACAGACAGGCAGGCAGGCAAATCATCTAGATAGCCAATTCCCAATGTTTGTAGAAGATACACTGCACCATTTATTGATTAGCTGAATGCTTCTATAGCAGTGATTCTGAAGTTCTTCAAAATGTGCTTAATGTAGACACACTATGACATTTTTTTAAAAATCTACTTTCAGAGAGATTTTCTGTTCTCTTTCCCACCTAAAGCCTCACAAAATTTACATTCCATTCTGAGAGCATAACATGCTGGGAACTCTATAACATTCTGACTGACTGGTTGATTGGATTTCCATCCTGCCTTTTGCACAACTACTAAACATGAAGTACACATTGTTTCCTCCTTCTATTTTTTCCCCACAACACCAATCCTGTGAAGCATGCTGGACTGAGAGTGACTGTCACACAGCTAGCTTCCATGACTGAAGACAGACTAGAATCTGGGTCTCACTGCTCCTAAACCAGCACCTTAACTACTACATCACACTGGTTCTTTAACTGACTTAATTTAGAATTATAACTATGAGTTCTGTGAAATGTAAATGGTAATGTAAATGATAGTTTGATTCAAAGGAGATTTTACTTTTAAAAAACCACACTAATATTCTATTATTGTCAGAATGAATTTTTAAATGAGGAAATGAATGTAAATTTGAAAATATATAAATGTATTTATTTAATCACATTTGTACAGCTGCCCATCTCACATAGTGACTCTAAATAACTAAATTTTATTAATTTAGTTCTCTATTAATATTTTTTTTTCAATAACCCCACCCTAACTTATACATGGCAAAACCCCAATTATATTCACCTTTGCAAATAAGTATGCTTCTATAGCAGTGATTCTGAAGTTCTTCGAAATGTGCTTAAGGTAGACACACTATGACATTTTTTTAAAAATCTACTTTCAGAGAGATCTTCTGTTCTCTTTCCCACCTAAAGCCTCACAAAATTTACATTCCATTCTGAGAGCATAACATGCTGGGAACTCTGTAACATTCTTCTCCCACAACTAGCCAATCCAGATATTCTGGGGATAGTCTGTAAGTTTTCCAGAAGTAGATACCCTGGAACAGAAACTGATTTCTAATGTTCTGGACATGGTCAGATTGGCGTGGTCTAGAGCAGTGTTGTCCAAACTTGGCCACTTTAAGATGAGTGGACTTCAACTCCTAGAAT